AAGCATACAACACAACAATACCTAACTGTGAAACAGGGACAGAATGAGTGTAAGAGCAGTGGCCAGGCAGAGAGTAAGGAGGAGTGAATATGATCAATGCACTTCACATTCCATGCTGGAAAACAGAATAAGGAAACCCATTCAAGACTATGTTTTAATGGGGCAGGTGGGGCAAGAAGAGTATTAGAGGAGGTAAATTTGATCCAAGTCTATTATATACACATATGGAAAATCTCAATGATCCCCCCCTTTGTACAAAGTAAGATACACTAACAAAAATTCAAAGGCTGGTACAGGTAACTCACATCTGTAATCCTAGCTCCTCAGGAGACTGAGATCTGTGGATCACAGTTGCAAGCCAGCCTGGGAAGATCAATCCAGAGACTCTTGTCTCTAGTTAAACAGTAAGAGACTGAATGGCTGGGCCCTGATGGCTCACGCCTATAATCCTAGATACTAAGAAGGCTGAGATCTAAAGATCACAATTTGAAGCCAGCCCCGACAAGAAATTACATGAAACTCTTATCTCCAATTAACTACCAAAAACTCATAAATTGAGCTGTGGCTCAAGGTGGCAGAACACTAGCCCTGAACTCAAGGGCTCAGGGACAACACCCCAGGCCCTAAAGTCAAGCCTGAGGGAGGGAGGGGAGAAGATAAAGGGGAAGGGATTGAATGTTTCTTTCATGCCCTCCACTACAAATTGTGGTGTTTGTGCTGTTTTAAGACCTTCAGTTTGTGGAAATGTTTACAGCAAAATAGGAAATTAATGAGCTAGACATACAGGAGTATTGAAAATAAGAATGGAGAGAATATTTAATTGCAAAGTATGCATTATTAACAGTCGGAAGTTTTCACAATTCTTGATTTTCCTAGGGACCAGTTTGGAATACAAAAACTTGTGATTTGGGGGCTGGGAAGGTGGCTCAGTGGTAGAGTGCTTGCCTTGCATGCATGAGGCCCTGGGTTCGATTCCTCAGCACCACATAAGCAAAAAGAAAAAAGCCAGAAGTGGTGCTGTGGCTCAAGTGGTAGAGCGCTAGCCTTGAGCTGAAGAGCTGAGGGATAGTACCCAGGCCTAGAGTTCAGGCCCCACGACTGGACCCAAAAAACAAACAAACAAAAAAAAAAAACTTCTGAATTTAACAAAAACCAGAATTGGAGGTGTGGCTCAAGTACTAGAACATCAGCTTTGAATGAAAAGCTAAAGAAGAGCATGAAATCTTTAGTTCAAGCTCTGTGATACAACACACACACACACACACACACACACGAAATTGGTATGGAATTTTAGCTAGGTTTCAGTGGCTCACGCCTGTAACCCTAGTTACTCAAGAGGCTGAGATCTGAGCATCAAGGTTCCATATACTCCAAGCAGACAAAATGGAAATTCTATCTCTAATCAACCAGCAAAAAGCCAAGAGTGGAGTTGTAACTCAAGTGGTAGAGCACCAGCCTTTGAGCAAAAAGCTAAGCCAAGAAGTGAGTTGCTAAGTTCAAGTTCCAGGAGGTACCAAAACTCTAAAACAAACAACATGCCAAACAGTAATGTCACTAAACCTCCAATGTTAAAAATTAAAATTATTTTTAGACCTCATTTGCAGATTACTTATCTCTGAACTTGAAGGTATCAACAAAACATGCTTCAAAATGTTTATATAGAAATGTGTTTTAGCTCTAATACTTAGAGCATGCCAACAACTGGTGGATACTTGGTGAATGCTTGTTAACAAATAAAAGAAGTAATATACAAATAAAGTGTCCAAGGAAATAACCTCACAACTAATTTCAGTCTAAATTTAGAGAATAATAGAAGGTGCTGTATTTTTGTATGTAAGTGCTGGTCTTGGGGCTTGAACTCAGTCCTGGGAGCTGTCTCTGAGCTTTTGTGCTCAAAGTTAACACTCTACCACTTGAGCCATAGCTCCACTTCAGCTTTTTTCTGGTTAATTGGAGATAAGCATTTCAGACCTTTTTGCTCTGGCTGGGTTTGAACCAAGATCCTCAGAGCTCATGTATTTTTTTAACATAATAAATCATTATCTCTCATACTTTCCTTATAGAAATATAGCAACATAGGAAACAAAAATGAGCCTAAAAGCAAAAGAACTCCAATGTTCCTTTGAAACATGATCCAGTTTCAAATTTCTTATTTTGTTCCCTATTAAAATCCTAGTAGATGATGAGTGGATCCAAAAATTGTGGTACCTATATATAATGGAATATTATGCAGCCATTAGAAAGGACAAAACAATGGCATTTGCAGGGAAATGGATGAACTAGAGCAAATCATTATGAGTGAGGTAAGCCAAGAGCAAAGAGACAAATGGCACATGGTCTCCCTGATATGTTGATGCTAAAGCCAAAATGCAAGGACATAAGACAAAGTTAGCAGGACTCGAGAAACAAAGGACAGCCATTCATCTTGTCATATCATTGCTAAATGACTTCATGTTATTGACCACATATATGGTATATATATATATATATATATATATATATATATGCCAGCAACAGAGGGAAGCTAGGAGGAGGACACAGAATCAGTGGGAAATGGGAAAACATAAAACAGAGAGGCTCATCAGCTGCACTGGACATAGATGAAAATGAGCTAAGCAACCCAAAGACAGTGATGTGAAGGGAAGAATGAGAGGGAAGGAAGGAACAGCCTCCACTAAGCAAAAGGAAAGAAATGTAATCATCACCTGATGTGGAAGAAATAATTGTATTGTCAAAGATCATAGAAGTCACAAACTTTATAGACCGTGATAATGACAATTTGCCTTGTGAAGGTTAAAATGTGTTTGTGACTTTAAGTATCACTATCTCTCAATACTGTGAAATTTATGTAATCACCTAATCTCAATTTAAAAAAAAAAAAAGAAGAAAACAAAAGTGAGAGAAGGATTGGGTTAGGAGCGATGGGTGACAATGTTTTCATATACTGTTTCGTAGACTGGGAACTTAAAAGTAAAAATAAAATAAAATAAAATCATAGTAGAGGCGTGAAATAAAAACTCAATCGTAGCTTGCATTAGCCATCTCTTTGCTATTCAAGAAGCTGACATCTGAGAATAGAGGTCCAAAGTCAGAAAAGTCTGTGAGACCCTTATCTCTAATTAACCACTAAAAAGCCAGAAGTAGAGGTGTGGCTCATGGGGTAGAAAGCCATCCTTGAGTGGAAAAGCAAAGGGCAAGCAAAGGGCCCCAAATTCAAGCCCTAGTCCCCAGTACTGATGCTTGCACATGCGTGTGCGCACACACACACACACACACACACACACACACACGAACAGTAGAAATTGTTTGCAGATACAATGTAGTACTAAATTTGCAGTATAAATCTTTGTTATTTTATATACATATTTCATAATAATCATCTCAAATACTGACTACTAGAAAAATATTAAGAAGAAATTTTAAGATTTTGAATCTCAAAATTTGCTTTATCTTCTTTTAAAATAATTCTTTATGTGTTTTCAACTTCAGTATTTTGAGCTTGTAATTGTGTGTGTGTGTGTGTGTGTGTGTGTGTGTGTGTGCCAGGACTGGATCTTAAACTCAGGATTTCTCCCTCTCACTTGTTTTTTTCACTCAAAGTTGAAATTGTTTTTTTCACTCAAAGTTGAAACTCTACACCTTAAGCCACACCTCCACTTCCAGCTTTTACTGGTTTATTAGTGATAAGGGTCTCTTGAATGTAACTGTTTAGGCAGGCTTTAAACTGCTACCTTCAGATCTCAATTTCCTGAGTAGCTGGGATTACAAGTGTAATGGCTAAGTCTATAAATTTTAACAATACTTTTTTTACAATGAAAAATATATGAAGATATCAAATAGTATAAAGCTAAATGTTCCTATTTTAAAATTAATAAATCAATACACTTTAGAAATCTAACGTAAGAGACCAATTTTCTAACTCCACTTCTATAATTCTCTGCTAGACAATCTTAAATAAGAGACAAATTTGAAAAAATAAAACACAATTTTGATAACTAAAATAGCTTAAACATCTAGCTATAAGAAAATGGTTAAGTAAATTGGTCACAAATTTAACTATCATTCATTAAAGCAAATACAGCAAAAAAAGAAGTGTGAAAATGTTAAACCTATTATGATTTTCATTATTGTAATGCATGCATAACAAAGAAATTGGACAGCAACATGCCAAAATGTTTTATACAGTCTGTAGCACTGTTGGATATTTAAATCTGATCCTGTATGCTTTGTACTATTTTCCTAATTTTCACTCCTTTTGTTGATACTACGTTACAATCAGGAAGCACATTTCCTAATGAAAGAGTTCTAATGTGAACGAGCACTGATGGATGGATAGCTCAGCCTTTGGTTCACTGTTAATTACGCATGCCTCACAAACACCTTCTGAAGGAAGAGGCTACTTTAGATCAAACCGAATGATATCAAAGCACATTTTAGGTTTGATCTGTGGAACTAAATTACCTTAACTCCTGAAGACCGATATTAACTGTAGGGAAATTGGGTTGCTGAGAAGAGCGTACATATAAATACCTTATAAAAGAAAACGGTATTATCGGTAAGATCTGCCTTGTCACGGATGCGACCGCGAATATCACCCATTGTGGGGGGGTCAGCCCCCCCAAATCATTATGCAATACCATCTTACCTTTGCCAGTGGCCTGCGTCTGTAATCCTTGCCACTTGCGCGAGGCTCAGATCAGAGGATCCGCAGTGGGAACCAGCCCAGGCAGGCAAGTTCAGGAGATTGTGCTCTCCAGTGAACCAGCCGAAAGCTGGAGGTGAAGCTGTGACTCCAGTGGTAGAGGCACTGGCTTGGATCCAGCGCCCAGGCCCTGAGTTCAAGCCCCAAGACCAGCATGCACACATACAAAAATGAATGACGACAAATAAACAGCAGACGTGACCGTGGCCGGTGCTGGGGATCTGAGCGCTAGAGCGGGGAACGCACGCGTTCTACCCCACCCCCAGGCCGTCCGGGCCGGCCAGGCCCACTCACTCACCGCGGTGGCACAGCGGATGTCCTTCCACACCGAGGCTTCCCGGGACAGGTCGGACACCTCGAAGAGGTTGTCGAGGATCACCTCCCCGATCATGTCGTGCCTGGAGAACCTGTCGAAGTCGTAGACGCTGAAGTGCAGCTTGCGCGCGCCCAGCTGCGCGTAGGCCACGGGGAAGTGGAAGGCCTCGTCGAAGAGCGGGTTGAGCGTCTTCCTGTGCACGCGCGTCTGGAACTTCTTCTTCCTGTCGGGGAGCAGGTACATCTTCACGTAGGGGTCGGAGGAGCCCGTCAGGTCCTTGGCGGGCAGGTCCAGCGCCTGAATCATCCTCACCACCAGGAGCTCGTTCTCGTAGTCGTAGCGCAGGGAGAAGTGCAGCTTGCCGCACGCCGGGGCGTCGTTGGCGCGCTGGCCCTCCGAGTCCACCGACCTCTGCTTGTACAGCTCGGGCTTGATCCTGCCGATGCTCGTGCTGGTCTCCCCGCGCGGCGGCGGCGGGTGGCGGCAGGGGCCCCGCGGGCTCCGCGCCCGGCCCGAAGTCCACGCTGGACACCTGCATCTGCCGCGGCAGGTGCCTCCGGAACGAGTTGTGCCTGCACACACGGACATGGACACGGACGCGCGAGCGCGCGCCAGCCATCAGTGCCTTGCGGGAAAGAAACCGCACCCTGTGCCTCAGCCGCCCTCCCAGCCCCTGCAAGGACCGAGAGGTGGCGAGGCGGATGCCTGTGGCACCAGAGACGGACAGACAGACAGACAGACAGACAGACAGACAGACAGAGACACACACACACACACACACACACACACACACACACACACACACACACACAGTTTCCCTGGAAAAATCAGGGAAACTGTATTCATCACCCCCCCCCCTTCCACCCGCCAATAGTCCCCTAGAAAATTCTAGAAATAACTGAAATTCAGAGATGTCCTTTTTCTTAAAAAAATATTCTTTGATGCCAGTGCTGGGACTTGAACTCAGGCCCAGGCAACTGTCGCTAAGCTTTTTGTTTTTTGGCTCAAAGCTGCCACTCTACCACTCGGGCTACCGCTCTACTTTTGGGTTGATTGACTGGAGATAGGACTCCCGTGGACTTTGCTGCCTGGGCCTGCCTTCGAACTGTGGTCCTCAGATCTCAGCCTCAGGCGTGAGCCACTGGTGCCTAGCAGAGAGGTACATTTTTTTTTTTAATTGGTCCTGGAGCTTGAACTCGAGGTCTGGGTGCTATCAAGTTGTTTTTTTTTGTTTGTTCGTTTTTGCTCAAGTCTAGTGCGGTGACATGTACATTTTTGTAAGCTTTTGGAATTTTGCCATCTTTACCATGGGTATCTAAATAAGATGGTTATTCAGAGTCACAACTAAAAACAACATTCAATGTTGCATAAAAACAATAGATGTTGCTATGTATCTGTGCCTATCCAGACTTTAGAGTCATTCAGGTAGTCTTTACATCTGGATATCTGAATTTCATGGTATAGGGATACAGTCATGTTTTTGTATGGGCACTGAAACTTGAACTCAGGGCCTCACATTCTTGCTCTTGCCATCTTGGCTCAAGTGAAGTACTTGACCATTTGAGCCAGAGCTCCAATTTCAGTTTTTTGGTGACTAATTGGAGCTAAGAGTCTCACAGACTTCTGGCCTGAGCTGGCTTCTTCCATCCTCAGATCTCAGCCTCCTGAGTAGCTAAGATGACAGGTGTGAGCCACCAATGCCAAACTGGGATACAGTTTTGAAAACAAAAACAAAACATAAGTCCACACATGTTATGTGTTAATTATTCCTACAGTTAATTATTTAGTGAAGACAACTAAATGAATATTTACTTTCAAAGAGCTATATAGCTTTGACAGCCTACATGAGTATTTTTCCTCCTTTTTTTTCCCCTTTTTATATCATGCAATAGGTTTCAACCTCTCTTAGGACAAAACAGAATGTAGAAGTTTAGAATATGGTGCCAAAATAACCCAGCTTTAAAAAAATTACTCCTGGTCATTATTGCCATTTATATCTAATCAACATTTTCATAATCTTAAATACTTAAACTTAACATGTTCTGAATTCTTTGTTTACACTTCCTCCTTGCCTTATTTCTAGCATCAACGCTGCCGGAAGACATGTTTCTCCCAAGCTGAGTTGCAGATCTTTTGTTCTTAGTGCTCCTAAGTCTGCCCGTCAGATGAATCATCTGTTTGGGGGTCTGTAATTATTGTCTTGAATCTGAATCTCCAGATACATCCCAGCTACACAAGCTTTTAATGCCGGATCTCTGCAACTCCAGTATACATTCCTCTACCCATGTCCTGATTCCACCCCAAACTCAGCACAAACTTGTCATTTTCTCCATTTACTGCTCAAACCAGGTCTCCCTCCTATAGTCTCTGACAATAGCACTGACATTGTGTGCGTGTGTGTGTGTATGTGTGCGTGCACATGCGCACGCGCATATTGGTATGTGGCTTGAACTCAAGGCCTGAAATCTAATCCATAGCTTTTTCTGCTCAAGCCAGGAACTCTACCACTTGAGCCATACCTCTATTTGTGGCTCTTTGCTGGTTCACTGGCCATAAGAGTCTGATGGATGGGTACTCTTCTGACCTGGCTGGCTTTGAATCTTGGTCCGAGGACCTCAGATTCCTGAGTAGCTAGGACTACAGCACCTTGCAGATTTTTCTAATAAAAGCTAACATCATGGGTACTCCAAGCACAGATGTATAATTTTTTTATTGTCTAGAACCTTATGTGATCCTAAGAAAAGCTTACTATCCCACAAAGACACGAGGTACAGAGAAGTGTCTTATTCAGCATGGGAAGAGCTACATTTAAATTAGATAGGGAGTATGGATCTGTGGCACACTGTATATCATACTATGTAGTCATATCTATGGTTCTACTGTTGGGTTTTTGTTGTTTGTTTTGTTTTGCTTTGTGGTCTGTCCTGGAGCTTGAATTCGGGGCCTGGGTGCTGTCTCTGAGCTCTTCAGCTCAAGGCAAGCGCTCTACCATTGGAGCCACAGCACCACTTCTGGGTTGGTGGTTCATTGGAGATAAGAGTGTCATGGACTTTCCTGCCTGAGCTGGCTTTGAACTGCGATCCTCAGATCTCAGCCTCCTGAGTAGCTAGGATTATAGGCGTGAGCCACCAGTGCCCGGCTCATGGCTCTCCTGTTTAATTAAATTATTTCAAAAATTTGTCATCATCAAGTAGCCATATAAAATATGAAAGGAATTATATACTTTATATAACTCTTCCCTTGTCAACATTACATATAACATACTTATGTAATCTGGTAAGATCTGAAGTCTCTGTGGTTTGAAATAGCTTGAGATATATTTTTAGACATGTTTTTTTCCCACCGCTTTGACTAGTTACCAACAATTGAAAGAGAACAAAGATGTTTAATTTGTTAAGATTATGAGTATATATTATGTAAAAAATCATTCAAGTTTATTATTATATGACATTTAATAAGAAAGGACATTTATTTTGTAAAGAGTAGTTAAGTAATACTTTTATACAATGCATATTTCATATATTTAAAAATGACTAAATTTAATTATAACTGAATAATTATTTTTATGTGAACACATACACTAGGACTACATTATCTTAGGTGAGGAAATTAGTTTAAAATTAAAAATATGCTTGATTTAAGATAAATATTTTAGTTTCTAGCATTAAGTATTAGATATGAGTCTTTGTTGTTGTTGTGCCAGTACAAGGGCTTGGACTTGGGGCCTGGTATTGTTTTTACTCACTCAAGGCTGACACTCTACCACTTGAGCCACAGCTCCACTTCTGGCTCCTTGCTGCCTTGTTGATGAATTGGAGATAAGAATCTCATGGATTTTTCTGCCTAGGCTGACTTTGAACCTTGATTCTCAGATCTCAGCCTCTTGAGTAGCAAGGATGACAGGTGTGAGCCACTAGCCGTTTATGTATTTCTCTCTCTCTCTCTTTCTATCTCTCTAGCTAGTTATCAATATCTATCTATCGTTAGTCTGTATGAAATAGATCTTAAAGTAACCTGTTTTCTTAGATCCATTCCACTTGAACTCACTAAAGGTATCATGAAATGAATTTTGACTTTGAACTTAGCCAGATATAAAAATCTAGAGCCTAAATTCCATTCAAGGAAAGCTCAGAGGGAATTTAAGAAAATAACAAGAATAAAAAATGAACATAGGCCCGGTACTGGTGGCTCATCCCTGTCATCCTAGCTACTCTAAAAGCTGAGCTCTGAGGACTGCAGTTCAAAGCCAGCCCAGGCAGGAAAGCCCGTAAGACCCTTGGTTCCAATTAGCCACCAGAAAACTGGAAGTGGCCTGTGGCTCAAGTGGTAGAATGTTATCCTTGAACAAAAGGAGCTCAAAGATAGAGCCCAGGCCCTGAGTTCAAGTCCAATGACTGACTAAACAAGAAAAAAAAAAAGAATACAGGTTGTGTATATTATTATGAAGCAGTGTAGGGATCTAGTCTAATTCAGTTTGTATCATCAGCATTCCTCTGGTATTATTTGGAATCGTTGGTTGAATAAATATGCTAATCTTACTGTGAAAATCATTTTTGTTTGTGCAACATGATTTTTGAGTTTTGCGAACAAAATCACTAAAGAAATTAATTCCTCGTCTTATAGGCATATTCTATAATTTCACAGTCATACTCTTCAGTATAATAAAACTTTAATCTTTCCTTCCCTGAAAAATGAGACATTTCTTCTTTAGACCTCTGAATATAATTTGTGCCAGCTGTAAACCTCTTATACTAGAAATCAAAGCTAGAAAGGCTCTTCTAATCGGATAAAACGACATAGTAACATTTTTGTTCTTGTAAGTCAGTGTCTTAATTATAGGGTAAATAATGTGTATTCAAAGTCACAATTGAGCTACTCAGTTAAAAAAGCCTTAATTATTACAATGTTAAACTATTACCATGACAACACAAGATCTGCTTTTTCATCTTGCCTCTCCTCTCTGTCTCTCTCTGTATCTCTGTCTTTGTGTTGCGTTTCTGTTTCTGTCTCTCTGTCTCCATCTTTGTGTCTCTGTGTTATGTGTCTGTCTCTGAATCTCTGTGTGTGTTTCTCTGTGCTACTGTGTTGTGTGTCTCCCTGTTTTTCTGTTTCTCTGAGTCTCAATGTGTGTCTGTCTGTCTCTGTGTCTCTCTTCTTTTTCTCAGTCTTTTTGCTTCCCTCCTCCTCTTGGCATTGTGTCTCAAAATGAAAGCAATTAGTGGCTACATTGGCTCATACAAGTATCCAACCAACCAAAGTGCAAGGTGCTAATTCTATTCATAGCCTTCAAACCAAGAGTTGAGCTGCCATTTAGGTCCTGGGGGGGGTGGGGGGAGCGGGGTATGGTATTGAATCACACTCAGCTGCCTTATATAGGGAAGGTAGCTTAACTTGTATGACCTTTATTTTCCTCACTTATGAAAAAGATCTTTCTGCTGGGTGCTTGTAGATCATGTCTACTTACTTAGGAAGCTGAGATCTGAGAATCATGGTTCAAAACCAAACCAGGCAGGAAAATCTTTGAGACTCTTTATCTCCAAACACACACATACATAAACACATACACACACAC